TAGTTTCAATTCCCAACTGCTTAAGAACTGCTTATAGTTATAGTACAAACTAGTAGAGCTTCAGTCTCGACAGAGACTTCTGGTTTAAAGTTATAACTTTTTGTAGTTATAACTATTTGTAGTTATAACTTTTCTGTAACTTTTTCATAACTTTCTTGGGGTATAACTTTTTTTGTAACTTTTTCATTACTTTATAATAGGTATAACTTTTTTTAGTTATAACTTTTCCTGGGTATAACTTTTTTCGGGTATAACTTTTTAAGTAACTTTTTCATAATTTTTTTTGGGTATAACTTTTTTGTAACTTTCCCACTGTTTATTTGGGTATAACTAATATATAACTTTGTAACTTTTTTATAACTTTTTTTGTAACTTTTAATAAGTATAACTTTTTGTAGTTATAACTTTTTAATAACTTAAGGTTATCTTAAAGGTGAAAAGTTTTACAAAAGTTATAACTTTTTTGTAACTAAGTTATAACTAAATTATACCTCACTTTAAACATGCGGTTCCAAACTCCGATAACTTATAGTTTTAACTTTTTTGTAACTTTTTTTTAGTTACAAAAGTTATAACTAAATTATAACTTATTTCAGTATGGGGGTGGATGAAACTGTCCAGTGTGTCGGTGGATCGTGTGGGGGTGTACTTCAGACACGCTGAACCTGATGTCTCACAGGCCAAAGGATTAGCTGGAGTAAGTTTGAACTTTTGATGTGTCATTTTTAAATCAAGGTCACCTTATGTTCAAGGTCACATTTATTTACAAAAATGAATGGACAATTTGTAAATTGCAGTGGTTGTATCATTTTTTAAGGGCGTTTACAAATCTATTTTTTAAGCTCACCTGAGCCGAAGGAAAGACAAAAAGACAAAAATTGGGTAGGGTCATTAAAAAATCTTCTTTTCAAGAACCACTATGCTAGGAAAGCTGAAACTTATGTGGAAGCATCCTGGGGTAGTGCAGATTTGAAATTGTTCAAATCATGACCCCCGGGGTAGGGCGGGGCCACAATGGGGAATCAAAGTTTAACATTGAAATATATAGGAAAAATCTTTGAAAATCATCTTCTCAAGAACCACTGGGCCAGAAAAGCTGAAACTTATGTTTAAGCATCCTGGGGTAGTGTAGATTCTAAATTGTTAAAATAGGATAGGGCGGAGCCACAATGGGGAATCAAAGTTTTACAATGGGGAATCAAAGCATTCTATGGTAGTGTAGATTTCAAATTGTTTTGATTATAATCAGTGGGGTAGGGTTTGGTCACAATATGTATTACAAGGGGGAAATCTGGTAAAGAACAGAATGGTCAAAGCTTCTCAGGTGAGCGATGTGGCCCATGGGCCTCTTGTTTCTAAATCCCGATTTCTCCTATTTTTCAGTTAACATAATGTTCTAAACATGACCCATCTAGACAGAAGCAAGCAAGACTTGTGTTTGACATCAAACAGGAGGGAAAAGCTCGTAAACTGATAACGGTCAGATCAGCCCTGATTGTCCATAATGAACTGGCCCCAAGACCATAAACTGAAAACAGACTTAAGTCAAAATTTCAATCGAATATAACTTATGAAAAAATTTTGATAGTGAATCAAAATTTTTGAATTTAAATATCATTTAAAATTGCAAAATTTTAAGCATAATTGTTAAATAAAACTCAAGCTATTAGAATTCAAAATTTTGACTTAAGTATATTCTCAATTTATGGTCTTGGGGCCTGGACTCCAGTATTGACCTTAAGATGGCCACACACTCAGGCTTGGAAGGTAGCTGCATGTCTGTAAAAACTGAGTCATATTACATGTTAACAGTGTTTCCAGTCAAGTCCACTGTTTGATATAACCTGGTTTTCATATGATTATTTTCTTTAATGCTGCCTTCTTTATTATGCCCCCCTTCGAAGAAGGGAGGGCATATTGCTTTGCTACTGTCTGTACTTAGTTTCCGTTCATTTTCTTTGCAACCATTGCACATACTGAAATGAAATTTGATATACAGATATATCACATGGATATCTAAATTAAGTTCTGTTTTGGGTACGATCGCACCATTTTTAGCTCTACAGGTCAGAGACCAGAAGAGCGTATGCGATAGTAATGCGTTCGGCGTCCGTCCGTCTGTCTGTCCGTCTGTCTGTAAACAATTTTTCAAAATGCTACTCCTCCTACACTTATAGTCTGATTTCAATATTACTTGGCACACAAGTAGACTACACTAAGATACATAGAATAGTGCATCGGTTTTTAATTTCAATGAACGGTGTTGCCATGGTTACTAAAAATAGAATTTTCTTTGAAATTCCTTAAAAACGCTACTATTTCTACAGTTTTGGTCTGATTTCAATATTACTTGGCACACAAGTAGAGTACACTAAGATACATAGAATAGTGCATCGTTTTTTGATTTCGATGAACGGTGTTGCCATGGTTACTAAAAATAGAATTTTCTGTGTAATTCCTTTAAAACGCTACTCCTTCTACAGTTTTGGTCTGATTTCAATATAAATTGGCACACAAGCAGACTACACTTTGATACATAGAATAGTGCATGGGTTTTTGATTTCGATGAACGGTGTTGCCATTGTTACTAAAAATAGAATTTTCTGTGAAATTCCTTTAAAACGCTACTCCTTCTACAGTTTTGGTCTGATTTCAGGTATCCGACCCATATTAGGACCAAAATTTCTAACCTTGAATAGCAATCGTTTGTAAAATATCTTGATATAATTTTAAAGCATTTTAGAGTAGGAAGGGATTTACCAAGAGAAATTTTCAAAAATTTAATTACCTAAGCAGAAATTAATTATTGAAGATTGCATTTAAGTCTGTGGAAGGAAGTAAGTTTTTTAAGATAAAAAAATAAATACTTCCAATATCAAAAAATGCTTTGGTGGAAAGATGTATTTGATCATTGGGAATAGAAAAAACAAGAAACTCAGAAACTCTTGGAAGGATTTGTCTGAAAATTTGTACACATATTATTCACCATATGAAGTTGTGCATCTGATATTTTAATCTTGATTGGATTATTATTTTGAATTTTACAGGTGTTTTTTTTTCATTTTTATTTTGTGGAATTGTCTGGACCGTTTCTCAGAAACTATTGCAAGGATTAATCTGAAAATTTGTACACTTATTATTCACCATATGAAGGTGTGCACCTGGAATTTTCAACTCTTTTTGTTAATTTTTTTTGCATTTTACAGGTTTTATTTTTTATTTTAATTGACTTGTTCATTTTGGGCTCATGTATAAGGTTTGAGATATAGAATCTAGAATATCTGTTCAAAAATACTACAGCTTAAAACTACTCATAAAAACTTTAAAAAAAGAAACATCATCAAGTGTTAAAAACAGTTTTTACATTGCACAGAAGATAATGTTATTTCTTTTGTCTCTTGGGAATAATGACTGGACATGCATCCAGTTAAAGATAAATTAATGAGTTTGGTGTTGGAAGTTGTTAAGGCATATTTCTTATCAAGCGTGTGTGTTATCTATCTCCAGGGAATAAGGCACAAGAATTAAAGATCTCTCTTCTCTTATTCTCTTAATTGTAATTTATTGTCTGTCAAAGCACTTCATTACTGGATGACCAGCTCTTTATTTTCAAAATGCATTTCAAATTGATATATCAAGTTTAATTTGATTTTGTATATTGTTTTTTTTTTCAACAATTAGTTTGCAGAGTGACATAACACATAATTGCAATATATTTTTTTAATGCAGTAATAAAAAAAAATAAAATGAAAAAATAAAAAAAAAAATGTTACAATGGAATTACAATGTATTAGTATTGATGTTTCATTTGGTTGCACCTTTGTTTCATTCACTAAGAAACATGATGAGCAATCATATTTCACTGCAAATTTTTGTAAGTAAATCATGAACACCTCTAGATCCATAAAGTATTTTTGAATTGGCACCTTCTCTGAAAAACCCAGCGGGGGCTATTTGTCCCTATTGGACAGTTCTAGTTTGATTTCGATGAACGGTGTTGCCATGGTTACTAAAAATAGAATTTTCTTTGAAATTCCTTCAAAACGCTACTCCTTCTACAGTTTTGGTCTGATTTCAATATAACTTGGCACACAAGTCGACTACACACTTAGATACATAGAATAGTGCATCGGTTTTTGATTTCGATGAACAGTGTTGCCATGGTTACTAAAAATAGAGTTTTCTGTGAAATTCCTTTAAAACGCTACTCCTTGTACAGTTTTAGTTTGATTTCAAAATAAGTAGACTACACAAAGATACATAAGTAACAAAATAGTGCAATGGTTTTTGATAAGTACAAAGCAGTAGAGCTACAGTCTCCACAGAGACTTCTGGTTGACAGAGTTATGCCCCTTGGACTTAGAAAAATTTCAATTATTTGCAGTTTCCGTTCATTTTCTTTGCACACGTTGCACATACTGAGATGAAATTTAGTATACAGATTTATCAGATGAATATCTAGGTCAAGATTTGTTTTGGGTACAATCGTGCCATTTTTGACAGAGTTATGCCCCTTAAACTTACAAAAAAATTCCAATTATTCGCACTTTCCTTTCATTTTCTTTGCAGAGGTTGCACATACTGAAAATAAATTTGGCATACAGATTTATCATATGACTATTTAGGTCAATTTCTGTTGTGGATACAATTGCGCCATTTTTGACAGAGTTATGCCTTTTTTGGACTTAGAAAAATTCCAATTTAGGAGGAGGGGGGCATAAGTGTTTTACAAACGTCTCTTGTTGGTGACTTTGAATTCATTTGTGGAAATATGTTATCCACAGTGAATGAATATTTTACCAAGGAGAACATATTTTTACCATGGGAATGAGATTTGTAATACTTGTACCGACAGTACTGAAAGTGAAGCTCTGAGATGTACGATTTTAATTCATTATATATATTCTTTAAGTTTACATGTTTTAAAAGCATACTAGGTACTGTAAGCATGACTTGCATGTTATTTCAAGCATTTCACTATAACCATGTTTTACTGTAGATTGAGCCATATTTTGTTTCATATTTATTTTCACCATTCACCACATAGAAAAATAGACTGATATCTTTTAATTGGGATTCCAAAAAAGTGTTGATGTAATGTTAATCATCAATTTACAGTCTGTTCAATTTGTTTTATAAAAATAATATTATAATGTTTATTGAAGGGAACACTATTCAGGATATTTATTTCTGTGCTTGAAATCACAAATTCAAATTAAAAATTCCATTCAGTTTATAATTATACACAACTGACAGAATTATTATCACTGTAGATACTTGTACACTGTCAGTGTGTTGGTGTATTGTTGTCCCACATAGAGATTGTTCTCATCATCCACACACACACTACATGGATAGGGTATCCCTCGTTGTGGTGTGAGTAATAGAAACAAGAACTGACCGTCCTGATCAAGGAGGTGAACAGTGTTACTGTATATATCACACACCAGGATGTGACCGAGGACATCAGTACAGATTCCAAAGGGACTGAACAATGAATCCTGACCTGTGTAGGAGAACCTGTGTTGTCCTGATTTATTCACCACCACTACTGCCATTTTATAATAGTCTTTATTAAAGTCTGATGTACAAATATCTCCATTGATGTTTTCTGTGATGTAGCGTGGATCACTATACAGATTCTGTCCTTTGTTTTCCCGTATGTTCTGTAGTTCTTTTCCTGTCTTGTTGTACCTGGTGACTTTACCCTCTCCATACCCATACCTCATCCCCACCAGTAAGTCCCCGTTGATGTGGGAGGAGTGTATGCTGAGTGGTGCCCAGTCTCCAGTTGTAATGAATTCAGTGATATTATTATCCTGTGTTATCCTATTGATGACTTTCTTGTCTTGGTCTGTAAAAATCAGACCCCTGTCCTGGGTCACTGTGTGATAACCACGTCCATCACTGGTTTTTATCTTCTGTATCACATTCCCCTTTAGATCTGTTTGGACAAGATTACCATACCTGTCACTGATCCAGAGTCTGTCTTGTTGATCTAGTGATACATGTAATACACGATCAACACCTGGTACATTGAACTCCCTGACCTTGGAGACAGAGGCAGATAGAGACATTGTTTGTTTCTTGTCAGATTTCACGTGTTTATCTCGTTTTGACTGTTCACTTGTAGATATCATTGATGAAGCAGGAGTAGGAATTTCCATTGGCTTTACTCTTTTTATTCTTTCCTTTCTATCTGATTTAATTACTTTCCCTAATAATTTAGCAACATCATTTTTGCTATATTGAGCAGAAGAAAATTCTGGTGTGACAGGCTTGGTGGTTTCTGGTATGAATTTTATTTCTAAGTTGTCTGGAAGTTTAGTTGTGAAGTTAGTGAGCTCAGTAGAGGACAGGTAACTCTGGAACTCTTTAATAAGGTCACTGAGATAGGCAATATAATCATCAAATGTCTTCTCTTGGCTCTTTAATTTCTCCAGTAATGACTGCTCTATTTGGTTTAATTCTTCCATATTTTCTGAGACCACTGTGTCCACCATGTTTTTGAGAGACTCGGCTTCAGCCTTCATGGATGTCCGTATGCTGTCCATGATCTGTTTAACTTCTGTGGCATCTTCCCGAATTTCTTTCTGTAAATCCTGTGATGTAGGAACAAAGTAATTATGGATTTTAGATAGTTCTTTTTGGTAAAGTTCAAATTTCTCTGTGTAAATAGTTTCTAAATCAATAAAACAATGTCTCTGGTGCCCTTGCATTGTTGAACACTTTGAACATAAAGAAATATTGCAGTCTTTGCAGTAAATATCTATTTCTTTGGTTGGGTGGATCTTGCATTTCATCACAGGAAGTTGTCGTCTTCGTAGCTGGTAAAGGACCACCTCATGGTTCTTGTTTTCTGGAATCTTTAAATGTTGGTCTCTGCATGGTTTACACATGCGATGATGACAGGAATTACAGTAAAATTCACTATTTCTCTCACAATCTTCAAAACCACACTCTAGAAAGTGTTGGGCAGTGCCTGAAATTTTTGATTTGGAAAGTGCCATCTGAAATTATCATTTTATTGTTAGTTACGTGCATATGGGTTGCGAAACTGCTACAGTTTTACATCTTCAATTTAATTGTTAAAGCTGAACTACAATTATAATGTTGTCTGGCTCTAATTATAGACTGAAGAGGAACACCCCATAATTGAATAAATGTTCAAAACTACTCTATTGTAAATAAATTAATATTATAAATATTATGTAAAAGAATTTGGTCACAGGACTTTAATAAACAAAAAATCAATGTCCCTTTAAGAAAAAAAAAATAATTTCTTGTCTGCAGACAACCCTGTACTTACATTTAATGCAGATATGATTTCTAAATGTATATATCTGTTGACAAACAAACTTTGGAATGACGGAAAGAGATTTAAGTCACACTTTGACTGTTTATTATTTACTTCCTGGTTGGAGATGAATATGGAATGATTTCAATGTCCCAGTAACCCAGATATATATAGACTTGTGCTTTGTTAAGTTAAAGAAGGAAGCATTTTTTACTGCCAAATATGGATTGTTTAACATTAATTTGTATGACATTATTAAACATTTTAACATAATTATTTTGAATTTAAAATTTGGTGAAATAAAAAAAAATATTACATGTATTAAGCTTTTATTAAATAAGAGTGTTAGCCTTTCTCACAAACATCTCCATCTTAAGGTAGAACCTATGTTGGAAAAGTCTTTGTCACAAGATTTTCAAACTTTTCAAAATGATAAATTAGTACTTGCTTATCAATCAGTTAAAAGCTCATGATATGTTTCCTTGTTTTTAAATCTAGTGCAGGCTTTGAAACTTGGTTTGGTAATTAAATATTACGACTTCACATTTTCAAATATTTTTAGGGGTACTTATCATAAAGGGAATATGAAAAATCACAAAATACCTCTTCAAACATTGTCATTTATAGACTTTATTTACTAAACAATATTAAACAACATTTTCTCCAAAATAATTTCTTTTTTATTCAGTTGACATAAAAGATAAGTCC